TGATGAGCCAGACGTAGGATCCAGAGCGAGCGAGCTTTTCCAGAACATCCATATATATATATTGGGTGCAGGTCATACCCTCAAAGAAACTCCCCTTACAACTGATTGGCTGATCACATCAGATCACATCTCAAAAGTGATTACATTGTGTCACTTACAGGAGATCACAAAATAGAGGATACTTACATCAGATCACAAAAAGAAAGATAATTACATCAGGTCACAAAAATGGAAGATAACTACATCAGATCACAAAATGAAGGATAATTACATAATACTGAGAATCATGGCCTAGCCAAGTTGACACATAACACATCACAGAAGGAATAAAAATAAAAGAGTGATTTGCAATCATTTAAACTAGAGAAGGAAAACAACTGTCATTTATGAAGTGGCTATTTTGTGCCAGACCATAGACTAGTGCTTTTTAGGTATTACTTTATTCACAGTAACTCAGTGATAATCAAAACACACCAATGACAACACCTAAAGAGTGCTTGCTATGTGCCAGGCTCAGTTCTATTCTCTTAACCTATCTATTAACTCATTTAATCCTCACCACATCCCTGTGAGGTAGTAATGTAATTCCCATTTTAAAGATGAGGAGACAGAGGAACACAGAGTTAATAATTTGCCCAAGATCATGTGTCACGTTATAGGTAAAGAAGCTGAGGCTCAGAGTGGTTTAGTTATTTATTCAAGATCACACATCTGGTATGTGGCAGAGCCAGGATTTGAACTAATTTAGCTGATTGACTCCAAAGCCAATGTTCTTTCCATTAAACTCTGCTGCTTACTAGACAAGAATACACATAACAAGATGGTTTTCCAGAAGAAATAGAATGTTACTGCACCTTATTTCCTGCAGTAGTCTTTGATGGGCTCTAATCATGCTACCTGGAAACCCTGGTGGCATAGTGGTTAAGAGTTCGGCTGCTAACCAAAAAGTTGGCAGTTTGAATCCACCAGGTGCTCCTTGGAAACCCTATGGTGCAGTTCTACTCTGTCCTACAGGGTCGCTATGAGTTGGAACCAACTTGATGGCAATGAGTTTTTTGTTTTTTTTGGATAATCATGCTGCCTAACCCTTTTCTTTTTAGGAGTTGGTAAACTTTCTGTAAAGGGCCAGGTAGTATATATTTCAGGCCTTAGGGGTCATATAGTCTCTGTTCTATCTACTCTGTGGCTATAGCACCAAAGCAGCCAGGGACAATATGTAAACAAATGAGTGTGCCTGTGTTCCAACAAATGTTACTAATGAAAACGGGAGGCTAGCTATGTTTGGCTCATGGGCTGTAGTTTGCTAACCCCTCTAGTTGCTTAGTAGGCAAGGGTTTTTCTGTTCCTTTTTTTTTTTTTTTTAATTTGGTATTTCCATCCCATGTAACTAGCTATTCAAGAATTTATGTTAAAATGTTAATGTAATTGGACTCACCTTTGCTTTTTTCAGAAATGGCCAATCTCTCAAGAGGAGAAGAATTTATGCTTTAATATGATTTAAACCAGAAATTAATCTCTTCTTTTATTCTTACCTGTTCTGCAGATGCCTTACATCTGGACAGCCTTACAGGGAATCCAAGACTGGGATTGACACTTTTCTCATATGTAGCCAACCGAATCCATGCTTCATGTGAAAGGCCAAAATATGCAGAAATAAAGGATGATGCTTTGGATGTGACAAGAGGACAAAAGTAAGACAAAAAAGCAAAATTTATTCATCCTATTCTTCACAAGTGGCCTAATCCCATAGTTTAACATTTTAATCAGTGATTTTAATATCCTGACATCGTAACATGTTTTCTTTATTTGTGGAACTTCTTTAACTTTCTGCAAATTAACAATTTTAAAACAAAAACATCTCAATAGTTTTCTTCAAGTGTAGTTTTCTTGTTTTGTTTTAATTTCATAATATCCATTCTAACATTTGAAAGACAAATTAGGCTACCTAAATGTCTCCCAGTTTCCAGAAATATACTACATATTGCCAGGTAACTTAGGTTTTTTCTTGTTTGTTTGATTGTTTTTCAGTCATGTAGATTTTGATCATATTTCTATTCCTTGAGAAGATTAACAAGTCTTTGGGAGCCTATCCCTGTCCCCACACCCACCTACTCCTGATGCTCCTGTGTGCTTACCGGCCTTTTTAAGTGCACTGACTGACCATCCCTAGGAAAGTTCAGGAATGTCAGCTGAGTTTGTGGGCACTATCTACCCAAAAGAAATTTCCTTTCTGTGTTGAGGGTGAGGAAGCCAGACTTTGAATTGCAAATTCTTCATTTTCATGTTTGGCTGGCCTCTCTGTGATGTGTAACCTCTCCCTGAGGGAGGTGGGAGTTCTCTTTAATGGTGTCTTATTTAAGTCATGAACTTAATTAGAAATTTAGTAAAACTGAGAAGGGAAAAACTTATAGTTTGGAATCTGCTTTAAAAAAAAAAAAAAAAAAACAAGTTCCCTATATCTGGGATAAATTTTCAGTTTTACTCTGCAGTCAGTAACTCTACCTTCTACTGCCAGGTGCCCAGGCCCCACAGGTGGCCCCCACCCAGGAGCAGATCTTTCAGGTTACTTCAGGATGACTGATGACGTAAGCATGAAAGTGAGTATTGTACTGGGTTTCAATTTCATTTTTAGTACTGCCATATCCTTCTACGGGTATTCTTTTTCTAAAGTATTAAGGACACTCTTATGGCAAGTATAAGTCAAATGCATGAGAAGTATCAGCCTTTGATGGCAGGAAATTAAAACTCAGTCATTTGGAGGACTTTCTACCCCTTCTATAGTATAAACTCTGGGATATGTGTAACCAAATGGAAATTTTGATGAAGTGTGCTGTATGTATTTGAGAGGCAGGCTGGTTTAAGGTTTAAGTTGAGTAATGACTTTAAGAAGTCTCTGATCTCATTACATCCCTAAGAACTGAGGTCAAGGGTAGATAATCTCTAAGGGGCTCCCCTTTGCAAGAGGCCACAAAATAGGGCAATACCTGAAAAGAATCCTATGCCACAGTCAGGTGCAAATAGTACTTCTCTATCAAAGAGGAGAGAGAGTAGCACTGAATGGCTGAGAAGGTCACTTAAGGAAACTCCTCAGGCCATTGAGATGTGGCTGGAGCATCTTGCAATCAGCTCTTCCTCAGTCGGTAGCCTGAGCATGAGCTCCGTGGTCTTCTCAATCAAACAGAGCAGACAATTCTGTTTCAGGATCTACCAAGCTATGATTCTTCCTTTTTCTTTTCTTTTTTGTTGTAACAGCTTTATTGAGATAAAATTCACACACCAAACAATTCATCAATTTCAATTGTACAATTCAGTGATTTTTGGTATATTTACAGAGTTGTGCAACCATCACCACGACCAGGTTTAGAACATTTTCATCACCCCAGAAAGAAACCCTGTACCTATTAGCAGTCACTCCCCATTTTCTATAACTTCCTCTCCCCCCAGTAACCATGAGTCTATTTTCTGTCTCTCTAGATTTGCCTATTCTGAACAGTCCATATAAAAGGAATCATATGATATGTGGTGTCTTGTGACTGGGTTTTTTCGGCTATCATACTGTTTTCAAGGTTCCTCCATGTTGTAGGATATATCAGGACTTCCTTTCTCTTTATGACTGGGTAATATTCCATTGCGTATAAGTACCACATTTTGTTTATCCATTCATCTGCTGATAGACATTTAGGATGTTTCCACCTTTTGGCTATTGTGGATAGTGCTGCCATGAACATTACTTCATTTATTTTTGTTTAAATTTTTTTATCGTGGTGACTATATGATAACAAAAAATTTGCCATTTCAACATTTTTCACATGTACAATTCAGTGACAATAATTACTTTTATCAGGGCTTCATTTCTTTTTATGGCCAAATACTGTTCCATTACATGGATATACCACATGTTGGTTGTTCATTTATCAACTGACAGACATTTGAGTTGTTTTTACTTTTTGGCTATTATGAAAAAATGCTGCTATGAACATTTGTGTACGAGTGTTTGTGTAGACATAGGTTTTCTGTTCTTTTGGGTGTATATCTGGGAGTAGAATTGCTGTGTTGTATGGTAACTCTATGTTTAACATTTTGAGAAACTGCCCAACTGATTTTCAAAGTGGTTGCACAATTTTACCTTCCCACCAGCAACGTATGAGGGTTTCAATTTCGCTACATCTTTGCCAGCACTTACACCCACTAGGATAGCTATACTGCCAACTGGCAATATAGCTATCCTACTGAGTGTAAAGTGGCATTTCATTTCTCATTTTTATTTTCCTAATCACTAATGATGTTGAGAATCTTTTCATGTGCTTATTGGCTATTTGTATATCTTCTTTGGAGCTATGTCTCTTCAGATCCTTTGCCCAATTTTAAAAATTAGGTTATTTGCTTTTTTACTACTGAGTAAAGTGTGTAAGAGTTATTATCATTTTTCCTTTTAAGTGTATATATCTGATATTTTTCTGTTCCTTAGTATCCACCCTATTGAGCAGCTAAGAAATGGAACAAAAAAGGAAATGAATCTATTTTGCTATTATTTAGCAACATTTTAATAAAGGAAGTTGAACTTGGAAGCTTACAGGATGTTTGGTTATTAGTAATTTCCCCTTTATCTGGCACTGAATTCACCAGAAAGGAGGAAACAATAAACATCGGTTGTGTACCAGGTACTGTGTAGGACAGCATTTCCACATGCCATCTTATTAATCCTCTCCACAATTTTGAGTGGTCGGTATTCTCTGCTTTTTAAAGTTGAGGCAACTGGAGTTCAGGGAGGTTAAATAACTTGCCCAAGATCACTCAGCTAGCAAGTAGCAAACCTGGGATTCAACTTTGGGTGTGTCTAGCTCCAAAGGTTGTGCCCTTTCCACAACCCCTCTTAGCACACTGGATTTAGACATTTCAGTGATAACAATCACTCATTGTTACCTTGCAAGTATTTTTTTTTGGCTAAGAAATGTGCTGCCTTACATACCTAAAAAGGACCTCCTAAACCACCCTCATTAGGATATGTGGTTTGAGTTGTTTTGTCTATGGTCTTGACACCCATTAAGAAATAGGAGCTAATAAAGATCACAGTAGAAACTCTTGTCAAATGTTCCTGGGAAAATGGTATGATTTCCCTGAAGCCTTTCATGCTGCCTTCTGTATCCTTTCTTCTATTGTTACAGGAACTAGTCTGTTGGCTGCTTTTTGTGACTGATCCACCAGACCTCACCATTCTCACTCCAGATTTCTGCTCCCCTGACGAATCTATGCAGCTTATTAGCTCCACTCTCCACCCCCTCCTGTCTCTTGAACAAATCCCTGTCTCCCACCCCTTCTTGCCCCCAACACTTACTTCTTAAAGAAACAGAAAGCTCTCCTTAGAAAATGCTTCTAAGCATCTAATTAGTAATCAGTACAGGGGAATTAGAATAAAATACAAGATAAAAATTACAAATAAGATATAAACACATAAAATGAAAATATAAGATGGTAATTGTATTACCGCCAAGTTGATTCCGACTCATGGCAACCCCATGTGTGTCAGAGTAGAACTGTGCTTCACGGGGTTTTCAATCACCAAACCAAAAACCAAATCCATTGCCTTTGAGTTGATTCTGACTCATAGTAACCCTAGAGGGCAGGGTAGAAATGCCACATAAGGTTTCCAAAGCTGTAAATCTTTAAGGAAGCAGTCTTCTGCTTCAGTCACAATGGGTCCTAAAATGATGGCATTTTCTTAACTCCTTGGCTTAAAAATGTAGGATTTTTGTTGATCTAAAGAGTCTTAGGAACAAACAACTTGGTCCAGTATTCAAGTCCCTCTATAATCTAGTTGCAACCTACCTTGCCACTCTAATTTCCCCATACTGCCTGATGGTTGTCCCCATACATTAACCAAAGCAGGTAGCGTGTGTTGTTAGAATATATCACACAAGCCTGTTGGTGCTGTTTTTCAACCTAGAACACTGCACACTTCTCCACTTCTCAAAGTTCTATCTGACTGTGAAGGCCCATTTCAAAAACCAACTGTTCCATAAAACGTTTCTTGTGGTAGCATAAAATGTTAACCATCAAGGACCTCCAGTCCTTCTTGAGGTCAAAATCTTAATGGATTAGGAATAAAGAGATCAGCTTTTTCCCTTCGTCTGCCTCTGTTTGGAAGAGTTGTATCTTTTGGGCCTTGGATTCCTCATTTCTCAACTGTCCCACTCACGGGGAAAAGATCAGTTCATGCCCTTCTTTTAGTTGCCTTGAAGTTATGTGTTTTCTTATATTTATTCCTGTATTAAATTGTAAACACTGCCATTATTTTGATGTTAACCAATGTGCATCTAGCGCCTAGCATAGATGCTGGTGCACAGTAACTGTCCCATTAATATTTGTTGAATGAACATTTACTTATTTATTTTTGTACTCCCTACAGGGTCTATTTAAAACATTGAGAGTGAGCACTCAGTGTGGCTGCTGAACTGACAGCTTTGCCCTATAGCTCTCTGACTCCTTTCTTTGGGCTGGTGACCCTGAGGACTTAAGAGTTACTTTTTATTCCTCTCCTACATTCATGCTGTTGTTTTAGTTACCATCAAGTCAATTCCAACTCATGGCGACCCCAAGTGTGCAGAGTGGAATCACATTCTATAGGGTTTTCATGTCTGTGACCTTTCAGAAGCAGATAGCCAAGCCTTACTTCTGAGACACCTCTTGGGTGGGTTTGAACCACCAACCTTTTTGTTAGTAGTCCAGTGCTTAACCATTTGCACCACCCTGGGACTCCTCATTCATAGAGGAAGCTATATTATAGCATCTTTTTAAGAGGGTACAATGTGAGATAAAAGTGAATATCAGCGCTCATAGAGGGTCTTTGGATCAACAAAGGACTGCAACAAGATTAGTATCCCAGGAACTCTTAATGACTGAACTCAATCTCCATCATTATCTACATCTCATAGTAAAATAATTTGGTACCCAATATGGAACATTCTTGCAGAGAACAGAGCTACTTTATTGTCCCAGTGAATTCATTTATTTGGAGTATCTTGGTATAAAGAAAAAAGAGAGGCAAAAAAAATATTTCCAGTGTTTATCTTTCAGAGATTCATACTGAAATATTGATGGACGGGGTGGTTATGATATCTGGAATTTGTTTCAAAATAATGCAAGGGTGAGTTTAGTGGGCAAAGGTATAGATGAAACTAGATTGACTATAGGTTGGTAATAGTTGAATCTGCATGATGAGTACAAAAGGGTTTACTATTCTGTCTACTTTTGTATTTGTTTGAAAATTTCCCCAGTAATGTCTTAGAATTTTTAGCCACATAGGATAGGCATTGGGTTTGAAGACAGCTCTGTTACTTATTAGCTGAGTGAATTTGGACAGGTAGCCTAACGTCTCGGAATTTACTTGTGTCACTTGTGAAACAGAAATATTATTTTGCAGGATTCTTGTGAGGATTCAAATACACACACATGCACAGATTACATATATACATATCTGCAAAAGCTAAGTGTTGGCCTAACCACTCCATGGAAACAAACCCAGGAGATCATATTTAGAGGAAAGCCAAATCTCAGGGCCCTGATTCCCCAGTTGCTGATGAATAGAAGGGCCTTTTAT